TTTTATTTCTTTTCAAATAATTATATGCATATCTACAAGTCTTCGGAGTGAAAGATTGCATTTTTTTAGAAAAAATTTCTTTACTTTAGAAGCATTATATACATATCCTCGAGTATTCGAAATGAGGAATTGCATTTTTAGAAACATTTCTATGCTTTATAAAAATTATATACATGTTCTCGAGTTTTCGAAAAGAGAGATTTTTAGAAATATTTATTTGCTTTAATAAAATCATATCCATGTCCTTGAATATTCTAAATGAAAATTTGCATTTTTAGAAATATTTATATGCTTTAAAAAAATTATATACATGTCCTAGAGTCTTCAAAATAAGAGATTGTATTTTTAAAATATTTCTTTGCTCCAATAAAATTATATACGTGTCCCCAAGTCTTCGAAGTAAGAGATTACAATTTTAGAAATATTCCTTTGCTTTAAAAAAATTATATACACGTCCTCGAGTTTTCAAAGTGAGAGATTACATTTGTAGAAATATTTCTTTGCTCTAATAAAATTATATTCGTGTCCTCGAATCTTCAAAGCGAAAAATTACATTTTTATAAATATTTATTTGCTTCATAAATATTATATACATGTCCTCGAATCTTCAAAGTGAGAAATAACATTTTTGCAAAAATTGCAAATATGTTTATTTACTTTAATAAAATTATATGCATGTCCTCAAGTTTTCGAAGTAAAAAATTGCACTTTTAGAAATATTTATTTACTTTAATAAAATCATATCCATATTTTTGAGTATTCGAAATGAAAAATTGTATTTTTAGAAATATTTGTTTGCTTTAAAAAAATTATATACATGTCCTCGAATCTTCAAAAATGATTTCTTCTTTGCGATAGCGATACAAGACATGCGGTAAGATCTAAGAGATCGTTAGGATATATATGATGCCGTTGACACTCGTAGATTGTGTCGACGATTGGCATTAGCAGCTTATATATGTATGAATTCTTTCGCGTATATGACAAATTCCCCAATAAATTAAAAATATGTAATGAAAAATAGGTAAATTCAAATAAAAATATTATATTAAAAAATAATCACATGTAGCATGATTCTTATATATTTATGAATGTTAATACATATATACATATAAATATATAAATATATATATATATATATGTGGGTGCGTGCGTCTGCTGTTTGAGCGAGAATGCGATCGTGCGGTGAAATGCGCAGAGAGCTCTTAGCTCCAAACCAGCGTTGAGTAGTTCGACGTTTCGTATATTTTTTTATCAGAGCGTACGCAGCCCCACGCGTGTTCTCGGAGGATTGGTAACGCCGCGGAGAAGGATCTTATTAATGTGGTCCACTCGCAGTATATGGGTGAAACTTAATTTATTGGTCTATT